AAGGCTGCCAGGCCATGTCACTCTCGGGGCAGGCAGAAGGCCTGAGGCCCGGCCAGGCTGGGCTCAGCTGAGCTGGTCTCTGCACACCGCGTGAGGTGGGCCTCCTCCCGGACACAGCGGGGCGCAAGCTGGGCCCTCGCTGCGGCCCTGAGCTTCCCTTGTGAGGGGGTTGGAGCAGAGTCCCTGCTGTAGCCCCCACCTCTCCTACCGGTGCTGGGGATTGAGACACACAGACACCCCTGCCGACAGTTCCCCAGGGCCGACCCCGCCGGGTCCCACACCGCACTGGCCAAGCAGGATGGGCATCCCGTGCCCACAGAGCTGCTCCGATGGGGGCAGGTCGCCTCCTCAGAGCTGCAAGGAGGCCGTGGCCAGGTCAGCCCCATGTCCTGTCCTAGCGGAAATGCCCCTGGTTTGTGGGTTAGGCTGTTGCGCCAAGACACACACCCGCTGAGACTGCATGACTGCTTCCTCCGGCCTTGCAGGGAGCAGTGAGCGGACAGCCGGGGTGGGGGAGCACCCCTCCCTGTCCCCCAGACAGCCGGGGAAGGGTGGATGAGCTCACGGAGAGGGGCCGCGTGAGGGTGGCGAGGCTGGCGAGGCCGTGGCCCCTGGGGAACACCACCACCACCCGAGCCAGCCCCGCGGAAGGGGCCTTGTGCTGCCTTCTGGAATCGAAGCTCTCCCCGGCTTGTGTCAGGCCCGGCGGCCCACCCTGAGCAGACCAGGGAGTGTGCCCAGAGAGCACCTCAGAGAAGGGTGTCCGTGGGCTGCCGCGCCGGGGCCATTCTGTAGCTTCTGTCCCTCCAGCCACTGTGGAGCACTGAGGTCACTTGGAAGTCCCCAGGTCTCCTGCAGCCTCGTGTCCCGCTTCCCAGCAGCTCCTCCCTCTCTGTGCTCACCTGCCCACCTCCGCCTCCCATGCTTAGGCTGCAGCCCCCCTCCCCCACTTCTGAGCCCATGCCCCCACCAGGACCCCGCATAGGGGGTGCAGACTGCACGCTGGGCTCGGGGGCCCCACTGCTTCTGGGCTGCAAAGGCGGTGGAGTCTCTGTCTATGCAAACGACCCCCCCCCCAGTCATTCCCACACCCTAGCAGGTGTGCATAGCTCCCCCCACTTCCCACTCTGCTGTGGTCAGGGTCCCGGCCACCTGCATGGAGGGGAGGCACAGCCGATGTGAAATGAGAAGCAGGCTGCCCCCGGAGCGGGCCGGACGGCAGGCAGGACCCGGGGCCCCGGAGCCGTGCGGGCCCACATGGCCCGGCACGTGTCTGCTATGGCCTGTGGTTGGGGTGCCTCAGCCAGCTCTGCCTGCCTGCCGGGCAGGGACGGGGATGGGGGCTGGAGTGGCCGGACTCCCCTCGGCTTCTCCTCAGAGAGGGGTGCCGGGGTGCCGCAGACGGAGGTGCAGGGACGGTGCCACTCAGACCGTGGGCTTCCTCTGTGGCAGGAGTCAGGGTAGGGAGGGCTGTCTGGTGAGGGCCCCGTGTGGCCCTCGCTGTCCTGAGAGGCCCCCCCTGCTGGCTGTAGGATGGTGGGCAAGTTCCCACCCTCCCTGGCCTCCTTTCCTCCCTCGGGCTCTTTGTAGGCGGGAGGGGTGGGGGGTATTGCTTGCAGAGGCTTCAAGAGCCGGCCACGCTCTGCTCGGCATAGAGGCGCCTGCAGTCCGGGGCGCACACTGCCCCCTGCCCTTCCCGCAGGGTGAATGGGTCCCCGGAGGTCCTGGCAGCAGGCGGGTCTGGGTGGGGGGGGGTTGGGCCAGAGGCCCTCAGCCCCGCGCCAGCTTGGCCTACCATACGGCTCCCTGCAGCCCTTGGGGCCTGCCCCGGGACCCAGCCCTGCGCCTTGCTTGCAGCACCCCCAGGGCCTGGCGCGCACAGGGTCTCCTGAGGGCCATTGTCTTTGGATGAAGTGAGTTCTTTGTCTGGAAGTAGCTGTGAGGATTCAGCTCTCCGGGCCCTCCTGGCTGAGCTCGGGGCCCCGAGCCCCTGGGGCTGCCGTGCTCTGAGCAGGAGGCCTCAGGCTGTGAGGGCTGCTGCGGAGGCTCCAAGGAGCCAGTCCGGGCCTGGGCCCCGTCGGGGGAAGGTGTGGCCTGAGGGGTATCAGTGGGCACGGAAGACCAGCCTGTGACCCGGGGATGGTCTGGACACATGCTGGGGCCCGGGCACCAGGGCTCTGGTCCCTCGGAGCCCACAGCCAGATGGCAGGGCGCAAACCCAGCTGCTAGCTTGGCACCCTGGGGTCTGAGTGCCCAGAGGAGCAGGGTCAGGGGCACACCCAGATCCCGGGCCCATGAGGTCACAGCACTGACTACACAGGAGAGCTGTGAGGGAGGCTGGGGCTCCTCCTCAGGCCACACGTTGGTCAGACATGGAGCAGGACACGGGTCCCTCCTCTCGGTGCAGGGGCTTTGACCGTCCTCTGGCGGGAAGAGCTCTGGCAGCACAGGAAGGGGCGGTCAGGGAGGGCTTCCTGGAGAAAGCCTTAACAGAGGCCCACAGCAAGAATGGGAGTGAGTGTGGGCAGGTGGAGGCTTTGGCGAGGTGGTCCCAGCTGAGGGGCCAGCAGGTGGAAGACACAGGGCAGTGCCAGCACCACCAAGGGCCGTGGGCGCAGGGGCGGGTGAGAGGGAGGCCAGGCTGAGGAATGTGGGGCTCTGTCCTCAGGGCAGGGACTGGCCTCACCTGACTCGTCCAGGATGCAGGGGGAATGAGGCATTGCAGGAAGGTGGCGGGAGGCCAGGAGAGGTCAGGGGCCAGGTTCAGGAGATGTCCAGGGAAAAGGGGACAAGCTCCAGTGCTTGCTGGAGGCGGGGGGGCGGGCAGGACTGGTGACCCCCAGTCTGTAGTGTGCTCCCCAATGTGGCATCCATCACCAGTATGAGCGGGCTGAGGGGACCACTGGGCCTTCTGCTGAGGTTGGGGGGGAGCCTGGGGGATGCCGCTGGAGTCCCCTGGTTCGCATCCACTCCTCCAGCCTAGCCCAAGGACAGCAACCTTCACACACTTCGGGGCCCCTGCCCTGGCCCAGGGTGTCGTAACCACCATCCGGGCCAGACACTGGGGCCAAGTTGCTGGAGGTTGAATCACTGTCACAACCCTAACCACATGCAGGCAGCCGCCCACTGCCAGCCACGAGAGCGTGTGCAAGGCCGGCCGAGGAGCGCAGGCGAGGAGGACTAGAGGCGCCGTGGGGACCGCCCCGGCCCTCGCGTCCGGCCCCAGGAGGACAGGAGAGGAGCCGAGCTGCCGGCAGGGAGCTTGATTTATACCTGACTCCCCGCTATGCCGAGGCCACAGCTCACTTGGAAGTCCGCCGGGCTTGACGTCAGGCTGCTTCCTGGGGCTCCCCTTTGGCCACCGGAAAAGGCCCCTGCCCAAGAGAAGCGGAGTTGCTTTGGAGTTGGGGTGTCAGCCAGCGCACGGGACTCCCTTCCTCAGCCCCGGGGGCCAGGCCAGCCAGGAGCAAGTGTGCAGAGCTGCGCGGGGGCGCTTTCAGGCCCAGAGCCTCCGGGCGGGAGCAGAACTTAGGGACGAGCCTGCTGTGCATTCTCCCTTGAACCAGCATTCGCTAGGCCAGGCCCGGGGTGCCCAGGGGAGGCAGCGGCTCTCTGGTCCAGCGACAGGAGAAGCAAGCAGGCAGGGAGGGGCCTAACCGGGACCGGGGGGGAGAGTATGCTGGGGAAGGGCTGTCCAGGGCAGGGCCCACTGGGGCCGAGCCCCGGGGACTGAGGAGTCTCAGGTGGCAGGGTGACTCAGAGAGGCCTCCGTGAGCATGTGTGACAGGTGGCCTGGCCTGGGGACGGCGAGGTAGAGCGGGTCGGCCTCGGGGCGGAGTGGGGACACAAGGCTCAGGCTGGTGCCCCAGGAGCACAGCCAACATCAAGGGTTGAACCGGGGTCTGGCTGGGCCAATGACAGTTTTGGGGGGATACTGACCCAGTCTCCCGGTAGATGCCAGAGCCTCTGCGGCCGGCTTTCTAAGACCAGCGTCGCAGCTGTGTGTGACAAAGGGAGGCATCTGGGGCTCACGGCGGCGAGCGAGCAGCTGAGCGGGGACCCGGTGCCCAGCTCTCCATTTGAGGATGCCCGAGCGTCCGAGGAGAGCCGCCCATCCGGCTCCGCCTCCACGGCCTCAAACCCAGCCCTCCCCTCCTGTGCTACAGTAAAGCCAGAGCCCACGACGCCCCCTCCACCGTGGCACCTTGTGGTCCTTGGCAGGTGGAACAGAACGGGACTGGCCTCAGGAGCTGGACTCCAAGGAGGCTCTCTTGTCTCTAGAGACCGGTCTTCTCCCCTCGGCCTCCCTGCGCCTGGGGCCATGGGCTGGCCCCTGCCCTGCGAATGGACCAGGGTGCAGCCCCCGCCGCCCACTCAGAGCTGGACCCCGGGGATCCAGGAGGCTGGGTCAGCCCTGTGCCTCCAGCCAGCCCAAGACCCCGACTGTGGGGCCTCTGCCCTGGTGGGGAAGGGGGCCCACCTGCAGGCCTGGCACCCAGCACGTGTCTGAGGGGCGATGCCCCGTGTCCCCGAGTGGGCTCTCACCCCTCTCTCTCGCCCTGCATGGAGCCCTTGGGCTGCCCCCTGCCAGCCAAAGAGGTTCAGAGCCCCGAGCCCAGCCCTGACGGCCCAGCCCTTGCCAGCACGGGGCCAGCGCAGGCCCCCGATGGTGCGGGGTGCCGGGGTGCCCCTCTGCAGCAGCTGCCATCGGTCGTGCAGGGTGTGTAGGGCAGGGCATCGTGGGGATGCCTCTTGGGAGCCAGGGTTGCCCCCCACGTGGAGGGGGCCACGAGGGCCGGCACTGGCCCCCTCTCTGGCTGGAGCATGGCACAGGGGTGCGTGCCCCTGCCCTGTCGGCCTGGCGCACTGGCCGCAGCCAGCATGTGGCCTGCCCCAAACTCAGCCCGGTGGGGCGGGGCCTGCCAGGGAGCTCCACCGGCTTTGAGCCTCGCCTGGTGCTTAGGCTGAGTGCCCGGTGCTGTGGAGTGAGGCTGACGGTGGGGACTCTCCAGCCCCGTGGGCAGGGCCAGCGTGTCCTGGCACTGGCCGAGGCTCTTTGCGGGTGGCTGCCTGAGAGCCCTGGGCAGAGCCCCGGAGCTTGCTCACACCCCGAAACTCGGTGCCTGGGGACGTGCTCCCCACGGTGACCTTTGCCTCAGAAGCATGGGGCAAGGATGAGTTCGAGCAGCAGTCTGGGGCCTGGATGTCTGGGCTGCTGTGGAGATGGTCCGCCCCTGCTCGGAGCGGGCGGGGCCGCAGACCCGTGCCAGCCGGGCCGTGAGGCCGCGCCAGCTGCACCTTCGCCCTGGAAACCTTTGCTCCCCTCTGCGGCTCCAAGGGTGATTCAGCCCCACTTCGGGGTGCGCAGGGATGCCCTCACCCCACAGCCTGAGGCTCCGAGCATTGGTCTGGGGCTCTCTGAGGCCGCCCCCCATCTGCCGGGGACAGACGCTTTTCTCCTCCTGATGCTCAGGGGTCTTCCCGGGCTCCCCTGGCCCCAGAAGCCTGCTCTGGCCGAGGGCAGACGTGGCGTGGGCTGCGGAGTAGCCCTAGGCTGGGCGCCTGGCCATGGGCCACAGGAGCCTCCCCCAGAGGGCACGATCGGGAGAGAGGAGAGGTCTCGAGGTCCCAACTTCTGCGGGGAAAGCCTGGCCTGGACAGCTGGCCCGGCACAGCCCCCTCGCCACCCACTTGCAGCCGTCCCGCCTCAGCCCGTGCAGGGGATTCGTGGGCCCCCCAAACCTTGCCTCGGGGAGCCCCGGCCAGACGGCCAGTCCCCACAGCTCATTGCAGCCTCCTCTGGAGCCGCAGGGGTGTGGTGGCCTGACCTGCACCGCCTGGCCGACCGCATCCACCTGGAGGAGCTGACCCGCCTTGGCATCCTGAGCGGTAGCATTGACGCCATGGGCCAGGCCCACCTGGGAGCTGTGTTCATGCCTCACGGGCTCGGCCACTTCCTGGGCATTGATGTGCACGACGTGGGAGGCTACCCCGAGGTCAGTGTGGACACGTCCGCGTGAGTGGCCCTCCCCGGGGCGGGGCTCTGGGAGCCAACTGGGCTGTAGTAGGACAAGCAAGAGGAGGAATGGGGTCCCACAGGGTCCCCTGCTCCTCCTCGCCCTGCACCCAGTGGTTGATCCTGGCCCCTGGCCGCTGTGGGGGCCGGCGGGGTGGGGGGCTCCCTAGAGTGTGCCTCATCTGGTGGCCCCGGGCTGTGCACTGGGGGGAGCCCCTGCCCTGCGGGGTGGTAGGTCAGCGCGCAGTTCCCACGGAGCAGTGGGAACCCCAAAGCTGGGTCGTAGTGACCAGGCTGACCCCGCCACCATGGTGTCCTCCTGCCTCTGGCTTCATGCAAGCCGGGGCGGTGAGGCACTGCCGTCAGGCGGCTGACCCGGGTCCTTCCTGGGACTAGCAGAGCCCAGCGCCCCTCACAGGCCCAGCAGCAGCCCCAGCCCCCCAGGCCAGCACACCCCCGTGGCCTCCTCGTCTGCAGGCCCTCCGGGCACCCTTAGCAGGGGAGGGAGGCTTCTGTGGGCATTTCCAGACAAGGCTTTCCCTCCCCTTCTTACCCACTGATTCTTGAAAGGACCACCCAGCGGGCGCTTGCAGCCAGCCTTGGGGAGGCCCTGCCCGGCAGGTGGCTGCAGCCTTTCCGGGCCCCGGGTGGGCGGGGGTGAGCCCGGCCCTGCCGCCTGGCCTGGCGCCCAAGGTGCAGGGGGCTGCTTATGCAATCGGTGCACGCCCTGGGGCCCACCAGCCAGTTAGCCAAGACTAGGCTGGGCCTGTTGGCTGCAGGGTATTTTGAAAGCACGAAGAATGATTTTTGGGGGGAAAAAATTGCTCAAGAGGAGCATTATTATTCAATTTTTTTTTTCCCTCAAGTGTAAACAGTTAAATTTGGAGAAACAAAATCAGTTTTAATTTCCTAATTTCTATCCATCACATTGTGTACAGGGAGCCAAGAGCAGGGCCTTCCAGACATTGTTAACTGAGGTTCGTTATTCATTAGTCGCCAGAGCGCTTTTTTTCCACCAGAGAAAATTGGCAACAAACTGTTTTATCTTTTCCAGTAAGCAGCCCTTTGTGCTCACAGAGTCTATTCTTTTGACAGATAAACATTGTAGAAAAAAATATGGCTTTTCCTATAAAAGTCATTTGTTTTATTTCAGGCCTCCAGACACATCTGGGTCTCCTCTGCTCAGAACCCAGTAAAAGTGGAGGTCTGCTGCCCTGGCGGAAGGTCTCAGGGTTGGAGGGCCGGGGGGGCTCGGCCTCTCCCCTTTGGGGGGGGGGCCCTGCTCTCCACTGCCCAGCCCCCATGCTTCGCCAGGCCTGCTCGGGCCGTGCCTGCGGTGGGAGACTCCTGGGAGCTAATGCTCTGAAGGGATAAAGGTCGGGGGGCCGCGGCAGGGCCCCCTCCCGCTCTCCCCTCACCCACAATTGGATGGGCGGTCCTGAAATTTTCCGGAGGGCTTGTCTCTATACAAGCCTGAGCAGACCACCCTCCCCTGGGCGCGCCCGTGGAGTGGCCCGACGTGGGCCCACAGTGACTGAGGGGGAACGGGGAGACCTGACCGTACCAGTTTGCTGCCTCTGCTGGGCCCCCGGCTTTGACAACCTTGGAGTGGAGGGAAAGGGACAGGCACCTAGCGGGTAACACGTAGGTGAGGGACAGGGAGGGCGTGTCCAGGGCAGGTACAGACTTGAGATGGCAGAAGGCCACTGGCCGGCCCCACAAGCACCTCTCATCCGAGCACGGGGGTGCGTCCCGGGCCCTCCTGCGTAGCCCCTCCGGGCACAAAGTGCACAGAGTCGGGAGCTTCTCCAGGTGGGCATCTGTGCCCAAAGCGCGAGCCATCAGGGGTCACGGTGCCTGGGTGTCCCCTCCTCCCCTCTGCCCCAGCCTGGCTCATGCCAGGTCAGGGTGGCTGTGCACAAGTTTCTCCGCGTGCCCTGCTGTCCCCACCCTCCTGGAATCCCCGTCACAGGCTTCCCTGATGTGCCCGGCCCTGGAGGCCGAGCCAGCCTGTTTCTGGTTACCTTACATGAACCACTAATTGAAGTCTGATGTTCTTGGCCCCCAAACAGTCCGAAATGACAGCTCCGTCTCCAGCAGCTGGGCTTCCAGGCGAGAGCTGCGAGCGGGGCGGGGCAGGCTCAGACCGGACCGGAAAGCCTGCTCGCTGCCCACCCGTGCTCACGGGCCGGGGCTGGGGCCGGACGGCGGCCTCGGGGACCCGGGGAGACAGGTGTTGGTGATGCCGTGTGAATCGAGGGGCCCAGGCCAGGTGGGCATTCGGGGGAGAGGGTGCCTCTGCAGGGAGCACGCTGCCACTGTCGCCTGCTCTGCGAGGGCGGGGGCCGGCCCCCCACGTGTGCTCCTCTGGGGCCACGCCCCCAGGCTCCACGCGCGTGCGCGTTCGTGCGTGTGCACAGCAGCGTCACGCCTGTCCTGGGGACAGCACCTGTCCCTCCTCCTGGAAGGCCCCGCGGAAAACCTTGGTCCTGGCCTGGGGGAGCGGGGCCCAGTGCTTCTGGGGCCGGTTCCCACTCCAACTGCCTGGAAGACACGACGCAGCGCGGGAAGCCCTGCAGCCGCCTTAAGAGCTTTTTTGGCTTCCCGAGTTTGGCTTCTGCCGCCCTCTCTGGCAGGGACAGGGCCTGGGTGAGGGCGGCCGGCTCGGGCAGCTCGCCCCGGGGGCGTGCACATAGGTGTCCACAGGGCCCCTGCACACAGTGCGGGGGCTAACGAGAGGCAGGAACCGGCCAAGTCTGGGGGTGTCTGCGGAGAGTGGAGGGTCTCATCCGAAGCGCCCGTGGCAGCTCCAGTGAGAGCAGGGAGGGCTCAGCAGGTGGGCCTTGGGGGCCATCTGGCTGCCGCCGCGGTGGGAACCCTCCATCCATGCCAGCGCTGGGGTCCTCCGGGCCCTGCCTCTCCTCACAGGGCGTGGAACGCATCGATGAGCCCGGCCTGCGGAGCCTGCGCACCACGCGGCACCTGGAGCCGGGCATGGTGCTCACCGTGGAGCCGGGCATTTACTTCATCGACCACCTGCTGGACGAGGCCCTGGCCGACCCGGCCCGTGCCTGCTTCTTCAACCGCGAGGTCCTGCAGCGCTTCCGGGCATTCGGGGGGGTGAGTGCCCACAGGCCCCGCATCCTGGCCCCCTGGACACCGATATGCGCACACTGCAGCGCACCACCCCTTTGTCTCGAGACAGGAGCTCTAGTGGGGGTGGGGATGGTCTTCACTTCCTCCCTTGAGAAGGACCCGGCATGTGCCTTCTCATGGTCTGTCATGGACCAGTGCCTCGCTCCTCAGCAAGACAGACACAGATTCTACAAAACCCCTGCCCACTCCAGGGCCAAGGACTGGGTGGGCAGGTGGCAGGAGCAGATGGCCCCATGGGAAGCGCCTTCGTCTCAACAGCCTCCCACGGAGGCCTGGAGGCCAGCCCCTTCCATCACGGGCAAGACAGACCGCTCCTTAGAAGGGGCTCCTCCAACCCAGTGGCTGGTCTGAGCCTCTAATCTGGTGCGTGAGGCCAACTCAGAAATAGTGTCTGTCATTTTTTTTTTCCCCAGTTTTTCTTTTTTAGATTTATTTGCGAGTGTGCGCGTGCACACTCACATGCCCAGGTAGGGGGAGGGGCAGGGGGGAGAGAGAATCTCAACAGACTCCCTATTGAGCGTGGAGCCCGACACGGGGCTCAATCCCAGGACCCGTGAGATTATGATTTGAGCCGACACCCAAGAGTCGGATGCTCACCCCCTGAGCCACCCAGGCACCCCCTTGAGTGTCTGTCATTGTGACGCAGGTCCGGATCGAGGAGGACGTCGTGGTGACTGCTAGTGGCATGGAACTGCTCACCTGTGTGCCCCGCACGGTGGAGGAGATCGAAGCGTGCATGGCAGGCAGTGACAAGGCCTTTACTCCCTTCTCTGGCCCCAAGTAGAGCCAGCTGGGAGTGCCCAGTGGGACCAGGGACCCAACCTGGCCACCTGTCTTCACGATGCGCAGCCTCCTGCCTGGCCCTCGAGCGGCGAGAGATGCGTGCTCAGAAATCCCATGGCTGCGTCCATGTTTGAGCTTGTGGTTTCCTCGGGGGGCGGGGGGGGGAGGGTCTCTTTCTTAACCTTCTGCAAGATCACACCTGAATCTGCTCTTACTCTGCTTGAATGACAGTGGCTTTTAAAGTACTAATGGAAAAGAATTCTGCTCCTTGATAGCAACTAAAATGTGTCTCGTCATTTGCATTCTTCTGCTCCGGGAAGATCTATTTCCAGCGTTTCCTCTCAAAAATCAATGCAGAGTCGGATTTGCAATAAAAAGTTTCCCAAAATGGTCCTTTGTGCACAGCTTCCTCTCTGTTCTTTCTCGCTCGGCGGCGGAGCCTGGCACGCAGGGACCTAGCAGCTGCCGGGGCAGAGCGGGGAGCCGGGGCACAGGCGTGGAGCCGCCCTACACGGGCCTTTGCACGTGAAAAGGTGAACCGCTAGAGGAAGAAGCCTTTTCGAGGGTGGGGCTACTGCCTCAAAGCTAGATTTCTGAAGGGAACAATTTTTATGCAGCACTTAAGGCACAGTTCTATAAAACGTGAGACTTGGCAGGGATGCCTTGTCCTCGATGCCCTTTTCATAGCAAAGCCGGCATCCACCTGAGCGACACAGCCACCTAGGTCAGCTCCGTGGTAGAGGTGAGCCTTCTAGTGGCTTCCATTTGCTGAGACCATTTGTCTTCCCTAAGTGTGAACCCGCGGACCAAACTCCACGCAGGCAGGGAGTGTTCTGGGGCCAGCTGGGCCTGGGCCCCGCCGAATGCGCAATGCCTCTCCTCCCCTCTGCTGGCCCAGGTCCCCCGTCCCGCAGCCCTGCCCCCGCCGGGAGCGGGGGAGCTCGGTGAGAAACCGATCCAGGCCTGTGTCTCCACAGCCCTCTCATCCAGGACTTTCCGGGCCAAGGTGAAGGGACACCAGAGATGAAACCACGATGGGGTGGGAAACTCTGTAGCCCAAGCTAGACATTTTGAGAAGTCACTGAAGCATTGAGTCCAAACCGATTTCTTCCTGCGGCAGTAACACAAAAGTGCTTGCAAAGTGACCACATTAAAATGAGACCACCTCGGTTCCAGATCAGTTTACCTGGTTTGCTCCTCAGATCGATCACACCCATTTTTTCAGGTTTGCTCCGGTGCTCAGGCAGTCCAAGTTATTTGTGACCTCGAGCGGTTGGCAGTGATGGACTTGAGTGTCAGGAGTCTCCATTCACCAATGTTTCTCTGCCCCGGCTGCACCTGCGGGGGACCCGTTCTGGCATCCGGGGTTTCAGCTGCCCCCGCGCCCGGATAAGCCCGGATACAGTGAGGCTAGCGCTCTAAATGGACAGTTTCGTTTGTGTTAAACACAGCTGGCTGTTGTCACATCTTTCTCCTTCCTTTCCTTCAGACGCCTCATACCAAAACTGCCCGTTTCACGTACATTTTCTGTGATTACCAAGCAAGAAGGTCAAAAGAATAAGGGGAAATCCCGTTAACTACATGTTCTTCGTCACAGAGGGGCACTGGGAACGTAGGTCTGACTGGTCTCGCCTCGGGGCAGTGAGTCAGGACACCCTCCGGCGGTGCGGGGCTCAGGTGGCCGGCAGAGCCCCTCTACCCCGTGGTCCAGAGGATGCACCCACCTCCTCATGCCTCCAGACCTCTGCAGAAAGGCATACAGCTTCAGAAACTCCTTAGAGACCCTTCCAGAAAGCGGAACAGCACTCAAAAAGCCTTTCTGAAACCCTAGAAGGGTTTGGGTATTCCTTCAATAAATAACTGAGCAGCCACTCTGTGTCGGTGTAGTAGAAAACCACCCTCCCTGCTCTCCGAGCCTCGGGGATCCTGAGAGGCTTCGCCTTGAACAAGCAAGCACAGATCTCTTCACCGGAAAGTGCCGTGAAGGAACGGCTGACCTTGTCTAGAAAGCCAGGGCGCTGAGACAGGAAGGAGTGAAAGGGAAAAGCGAGACAAGATGAGGCACCCAGACGTGAACTGTTCAAAGGCGGCCTGGAGTAAAACGAGCCTGGAGAAGCCCTGCAGCCAAAGCCAAGTAACGGGGGACGGAGGACGGAGGGAAAGCAAGGCCGCAGATGAGGGGAGCCACGTCACAAGGAGACGGGGTCTCCCTCTGGGTGCAGTGGGGAATGACAGCAGGTTCTGGAGAGCAGGCAGTGGTCCAAGGAGACCAAGTCCGGGCAAGAGAGGACGATGGTTCTGTGCGGCGGGGGAGGGAGGGGAGCACATTTAGGGGGTAGAAGGGAAAGGTGGCGGAGCGGGAAGGCCCGGGGCCAGATGTAGTCATTTGGGCGACACGAAAAGTACAACAGGCCCGTTCGCTTCCAAGCCCAGTTCTGCACCCCGGACCCTGTGCGCACCGCTGCGTAGCTTCCAGGCCTAGAGTTGTGCGAGGAGTGCGCGTGGCAGTACGAGACTGTTCGGGATTGGCGATCTCCTTCGAGTACACGTACGATGCACACGGACTCTAGATGCTCCCAGGCAGTGACAGAGCAGGTCCAAAGGTGCTTTTATTGAAAAAAAAGCTGGCACCTTCACAAATCATCTCTATATAAAATTCCCCAAGACAAACTATTTATGGGCTCCCAAATTACAACTACTTTGTAAAAACCAAATAGGATGCACTACCCACAGAAATAATTACTGTACTACGACTGTCATTAAGATGCAGTAAGTAGAAACCTATGTCCCAAGACATGAAAAAAGCTGATGCATCACAGAAGAGTCTCTAAATGACATCTTCCCTTGAAACACTCAAATCAGCATGGATTCAGTATTGCCTCGTTCATCTGCAGAGACACTCTACAGCATCACGTCAACGAGGAGGAGGTACACACTATAAATTGTGCTGCTGGGGGAAAGGCCTTACTTCGACCTTCCTGAGGCCTCAAAGCCTCAAGAACTCCTCTCTACCACCACCGTGTGACTGGAAACCACACACTGAGACACGAGGCGCCCGAGCAGGCGAGCCCGCCGCTGCCTTCTCCACCCTTGTCCCCATTCCCGGGTTAGACCACGTGACAACGAACAGCACTGAAGAGGCCCTCTATATTCAGAGGAAATGACGTTCCCATCCATTCAGGGAAATCTAGACTTGGACAAAAGCACCTCCCGCCCCTGACCCTCAGCAACCTTCACCCCTGCCCTGGGCTGGGACAGCAGGAAAGACGGCCGACCATCTGCCTGCTCTTCAGAGCTCTTGGACATCTGGACTACTTCCTCGGGATACGAACAGAAAGAAACCCACAAGGAGATACAGTCATTATTCCAAAGTTTTTTATTTCAAATTCATTGAAAGAAATAAAATTATATTTAAAAAAATAGAGTAATCTCACAAACTGAGGAAAGCCAGGAACAAAAAGAACAAGGTAAGGACTTTTTCCTGAGAGGCAGCTCTAACAGCTATCAGAATGGACTTTCTCCTCCCTAGCTTTTGTCAAACAAAAAATTGCTTCCTATTTCTAAGGCATCAAAAAGCACTCTGAGTGCTAACTGGGTTGTCCAGGTATGTTTCAAGCCCTCTAATGGGGGCTGAGAAACACCAAAGGCTGATTTCTTTTAATACCAAATACTAAATTGCACATACTACTTTTTTATGTAAATTTCAGATTTCACACTTGTGACCTAAATTTCAAACATCTGGTCATATTTTATTACTATCTTACTACCTCTTAGCAAGAATGTCCAAAGTATCTGAGCTCACATTCCAGTCACCGCAAGGGGCCAGACGGTAGAAGAGCTGCTCTGATCTCCCCACGTGCTGCCAACCCCATCCACAAAGCAGCCATCTCGGATGACTCAGATGCAGCTAGACATTTACACTAAAGCCTACTTCCTAAACCACTGGACCTGCCGGCAAAGGCAGATCAAACCCTAACGGTGCATACGTAACCTACAGAACAGAAGTTACAAAAGTCATCTTAACAATTCCCAAAGCTCTAAACTTACCCATTCCCCATACTTGGTTTCCCTCAATTTGATACTGATAAATCTATCAAACTGCAAACTTTCATTCCCAAACACTTCAGTAAGACAGTCAAGACAATGGTTAACATTTTTGTTCTACGCATACATGACGGCTTGTGCTAAAGTTCTGGTTTGCATAGGTTAACAGGAAAGCTTGAATCAATTTTTCCAAGTTTCAACCTTATGTTCGGATTTGAAGTTATCGAGTGCACACCCCTGATGATTTCCCTAAAGCTTCTTCTCCAAGACAGTTAAGTCAGTTCATATAAATGGTAACCATAAATTCCATAGGGACATCAATTTCTGAAAGACTTTTTTTTTTTAGTAAACAAGAGATTACAATGTCTGTAACACCTTTACAGGCGCTTAACGATTCAAGTGACCTAACTGTACCTCTAAATAGGTTAATTATATAACATCAATCAGCTATTAAAGATTCAGTAGGATTCTGCGGGTTACCTCCTAGTCAGTCAAAACATCTATCAACCTAGAAGTAGACTGATACTGCAGCCAAAGTAAACCGATGTCAGACCCTAAGAGAAACCTCGATCCTGTCTCCTGGCTCTCCGGGGAGCTAACCCTCCTGGGACAGTGGCTCTCATGGAGCAACACTGGGTTCCAGTCACATGTGGAAGAGGCTCATGGCCTTAATAATGGCTTTGCTGAGTTGCAGGTCACGGTGGTATTTTCACCTGCCCAGAAGAGCACAGACCACACTTTTGTACCAACCCAAGGGTGCAACTTGAGTCACATCCTGGTTACACTGTTCCAGGTCCTAGTAAGAAACAATATGGCCAAAAATTTAAGTGACCATGTTCAAATAAGATACCTGGTAACACAAACTTCTTAATCAGATGTGACTCAGTCTCTTGTCACCAGCCTAGACACACACACACACACACATACACACACAGAAATATACAAAAGCCAACAAATCTGAGCTAGGATTGTGCTAAAAAAAAAAATCAACAAGGACAATCAAAACCACAAACACTGATATAAACCAGACCCTAGCGATCCCCGACTTTAGCGACTGCCATTTTTTAGTCTCAACAAAAATGTCAATATCCTGAGTTTTATCAGTATTTTCTTTCTAAAATAATTTATGGGACACAAAAGCATACAAATGAACAAACAGAAGCAGTGGTACAAAAGTCTAGAAGAGCCCACTAACTAGAAAAAGAAATGTCACAAAAACAATATAAAAAGATGTATTTAAGTGAAATAAATTAAAGGTTAAACCTTACACTTTCAAGTTTTCTTAGACTATTATTTTGGGAGATGGCATAGAGTTGATGACGTATTTTTCTAATAATGACTTGGTTAAGATCAAATGCCAAATGATCCTTCACAAGAAATTTTTGCCTTTAATAATCATGGCCCCATTGAAGATACTTGGACACAGGAGAAGCTACCTCAATCCCAATCAGTAAACTGTTAAGGCATTTGTCTACTAACTTGGCTGTCAAAATGGTATTTTAAAAATATTTACTTACTTGACCAGCATCTACAGAAACAAAAAATATTTACTTAACTTGACCAGCATCTACAGAAACAAAAACTGTAGTTTACAGATACAAGTTTCTCTAAACTCCTGGGGGTTTTTTGTTGTTAGAAAACAAAATAATGCCAATCCAATAACCCAAAGGTATCCCGAAAGCATAATTCTAATATGCTTTACTTTTATTTTTAAGAAACCTATTTGTCTCCTAATCATTAGTATTTTTAAGCCACTGGCTGTATATACTGCCTTTAAAACGTAATGGAATTTACTTAACCTGGCACCGCTACTCAAAAACTTATACTTGTTGGGGGAAAACAGTACTAATTAGGCTAAAACAGGTTTATGTTATACATAAAATCACTCCAAATTACAAAGTGATTGATTTCTATAGCCCTAAGGATTTTTAATACATAATTTAGAAAAAAAACACAAATAGATTAACACAGATGGCATTCAACTTCTCTTAGTCTAATTAATCATCTCCAATAAAACCAAGACCCTTCTGCAGGACCTGCCAGTTCCCCATTCCTTTGATCAACCTACAAAAGAAGCATTTCTTGGGAAGTGAGGATTTATTAAGAATATCAAGGTCCAGGGCTTTTTTTTTTTTTTTTTTACCATATACCTTAAAAATTGGTTTTATCCCCACAAAAAAATCCATATCATTTAAAACTAGATATTCAAATTACATGGCTAACATTTTTAGCTAATCAACTCTTCAGTGCTGATCCCAGAAAACAACCTTCAGTGGGTCTTTGAATAATGGAACAAGACAATGTTCGGCCATTGATATGAGTGATGTAGGTAGTCACACCTTTAACGTTCAAGCCACAAGTTGTGAAGTTTGGAAGGGGTGAGGTCTACTGTCCTGCATTATCAGAAGTTGTATTTTCAGTGCTAGTGGGTTGCACGTTATCTGCAAGGTTGTGTGCGTGCTCAAGAAACAAATCTTTCAATACACTTAATTCCTTAGTCAGCAATTTAATTTTTGCTTCCAAACGTTCATTCTCTTCTTTGAGCTGATTCACTCTCTGCAGTGTATCCTGTGCTTTCTGCTTGCTTTTCAACCGGCTCTTTTTCACAGCCATGTTGTTCCTCTCTCTGCGCTGACGATACTCATCACTGTTGCGATCCATGGGCGAACTCTTTTTGCTTTGCTTGCTTGGGGGCACGGCTTTGCCTCCTCCCCCCGGGCCAGCAGGCACCAGCTGAGGAACCTGCTGTAAGCCGCCGGCATGAGCCTGAGTATGAATAACACTTATTCCCGGAGTACTGTTCTGCTGGGCTATCTTGCTCATTTGGGCACTCTCTCTTGCTGACACAGAACAGGCAGAAATGAGGGCAAGGTGATCAATGGTTTCCACACTAAGCTGCCAAGAAATCTTCACATGTACCTAGTTAAAAAATAAATTGCATTAAAATGTTTGAAATGACAAGATCAAATGAGATTAAACTTGCATGTATCTAACAGCAGGCCGACATTAATTGATTATGCTGAGAAAAGTCAACAGCAACTGCCAACTGTTCCAATGTTTCAGAAGTCTAAATCATTTAATTTAGAAAGGTAAGTTAGTACAGGAGCACCATAAGGCCAAATTCAGCCCACCTGCATCCCTGAGGGTACTGCCCATCTGTGATTGTTATCAAAATGGAAGGAAAAACAAAAGAATACCGCTAATTAGGTAGCAGAGAGGAAATAATAGCACTTGGCAATCTGCCAGAAAAAATTTGAGCTGTTTGGGTGAAACATGCAAAACCTGAGTTCAATTATGATAGAAGAGACACCTGCAAAGCAAGGGGGACAAAGTTTCAATTGTTGGCTCACGTCAAAACAGAATCCTGCGGCAGAGTGCCCGATCTCCACGACTCATCAGGATCACTGCATGTTCCTTACACCAATATGCAGAGACCTAAGTCACCAAGGACTTGACTTTTCTCCCGGAGTACATCTTTATGGAATATTCTGAAAAGACTTTTTGGGGAGGGGGGGCTTTTTTTTGTTTTGTTTTTAATGACCTCACAGATAGTAGTTTGCATAGATTTCCTAAGTTAGCTTCTTGGATCAGAGATTTAGGAGCTCTGGAACCTCCAGTGTGCTGCCCCATCCCACCATGCTGCTTCTAACAGTGGGGTTTTTTTTCCTTCTTGACATAATTTATAAACACATCTCAACACAGGCAACCTGAAACCACAAGGAAAGAAACAAAAGCCCTAATGATGCACCCAAGGAAGAGCAAGTATGGGGCTGAGGCTAGACAGAAAGTGAGCCTGCACCCACTTGACAAGGCACACATGGCTCAGACGGAATGCCAACTCTTGAGTGTTCTTGCACTGCTGCCCGTAGAAATGAAGCCACAGTTTCAGAAACTAGTCATACTTGGATTACTATCAATCCAACTAGGTCACTAGTTGAGTGACCAATCCACTAGGTCACACACTTGAGCTGCCTCAAGATGTGTCAAAAGCATACCTATCTAATCATGAGGCCACTTCAAGACAAACTGACTCAGCGAATGAGCCATGTCCACCAAGAAATCATAGCACTCTTGGAAATTCAGAAAGCAGTGTTACGACTATCCTGTTCTCTTTTCACAGAACTGCTAAACCTACATCAGTGGATAAAACCTGGAGCCAGAATTATGATGCCTCAAATGAGTACACCTCACAGCTCTTAAGAAAAAACTCAGTAAACACCAGTAGCTTCACCCAAACCATTAGCCAGGTGTTTCTTGCATAAACACTGTTCATCGGTCTGCTTTTAAAAATCTTTCCTTTTAAAAAGTCCGTATTATCATTACTTTCAATTGTTGCCAAAGCCATGCATGCAGCCCTGAGTTAGTGGGTCATCTGTTCTCACTCCAAAAGTATGGCAAGAGAGAAAGCTTCCTTCCAAACCATGGATGGATATCTACACAGAGTCTATCTTCAATAAAGGACATTTCACGATCTCCCTGGATAATTTATTATGTTGCCTATTTTTTCTTCCAGTTAAACAGTGGCAGTTCAGTATTAACTTGGGCCACCTTACCACTAATAGTGTTAGTGGCCACCTACATTATTGCTTATTTATTTGGTGTAAAGTGAGCATAAGAATTTTAGTTGACTTTTAAAAACTTTAACACTTCTCCTGGGATTGTCCCAACTATCATGATCACGGTCATCTTATTTAACTTTTTTATTTTTCATACACCAATTATGGTTTTAACCTCTAAAGCTAATCTCTAGAGACAGCTCAAAGAGAAAATGATCCAAAAAGCACAGAGCAGGAACCAGGTCAATTCTTGTCTTGGCTCTGGCTCCCCCGGTTTTGCTCTGGACCTATCCCTTCCCCTCTTTGGGCCTCGATTTCCCCATCTGCAAATGAGGGATATAGAATGGTAAGATGCCTTCTGACTCTGAAAATACACCATGAACTTTAGTCACTAAAAACTCTTTTCTACCCCTTTATGCTTTTTTATTCCTAAGTCACTAAAAACTTTTAATACAGGCTCCAAATTCAGTGATGTTCATGCCCATTTTTGTACCCAAAGATATGGGAATGGGGAAGAGCTCTTCTACCTCAGCCTGACTCATTTTGGTAGGGTACTAGAGTAGGGGGTACTTTGAAGATGTGCTCATTGCTTGAAAAACAAACTATCAAATTGGTAAAAATGTAAGGAAACTTGGAAATAATAAAAATAATTCAAAAATGATTTTTTTTTTTTAAAGTTCCTCAACCAAAGCCAGGGAAGTAAGTTTTAAGTGAAAAAATATCCATTAAGGAAAGTAAACCAAGTAAAGGGGGGGGGGGGGTCAAAGGGCCAAATGGTCCAAGAGAGTTAACTCCAGATTATCAACTGTGCTTTTACACAAGCAAAATAGCTGCCTCCAAAGTTACACATTTCACAGTTTCCACTGTCATTTATGCTTTTGTTCCTTCCACAAACACTTACTGAGCACCTACAATGGGAAAAAAAAATTAGTTTATTTCAAATCTGGATATTCAACCCTAAATGAAAGTCTGGCTCCTATGTGGACAAATACTATTCCAAAGTTCATTCCACAGGAAGCAGGGTGGTGCCTCGTTTCCTTAGATGTGAATCATCCAGGCAGGGAGCAGGAGAAAAACTGAAGAGCAGTTCTCAAAGTGTGGTCCCTGGTCAGAAATGCAAATTCTCAAGCTACCCCGGACGTAAGAATCAGGAGCTCTAGGAATAGGACTGAGCAGTCTTGTTTTAGAGGGACCTCCAAGTGATTCTGTTGACACTGAGGTTTAAGAGCCAATGCTGCAGATTAATAATGGATCTTAAGAAAGACGGTCTGATTGGGTAAATTTTTTTAAAATTCAAATTTCTTAATTCAAGTCGTGTTCATTCAAATCAGTAACACACTGAAAACTCAGAAAGGTTAGAATGAGTAAAACAAATTTCTCTTAAGTTTCATTTGGGAAAGTAAACTTGTCAAGAATTCTCCTAATCCTCCTGTCACTTTTTTCTCCACATTATATACAACCAAATATTCCTCCCCATGCTCCCCAAAATAAATTTTTTTTTTAAAGATTTTATTTATTTGACAGAAAGAGAGCACAGATAGGCAGAGTGGCAGGCAGAGAGAGAGGGAGAAGCAGGCTCTCCGTCGAACATGGAGCCCGACACGGGGCTGATCCCAGGACCCTGGGATCATGACCTGAGCGGAAGGCAGACGCTTAACCGACTGAGCCACCCAGGCACCCCCCACAAAATAAATTCTTAACTCATATTTCCTCAGTGAGCATCTACACTCCAAAATATTCACAGATGTTTCTCCATTACTCCCAATCTGTACACCCACCCACCTCCCAAAAGAACTTACAACCACCATCCCTCTCCATCCTAACACCACAGAATTACCTCAGGCTGACATCATCTCCCCGGGGGGCACTCGTCCCCTCTGGTTTAGCAGTGCACCCTCCAACCACTGTCGCCAGACCCATGGAGCACTCAAACCTGCGCTAGTGTCCAGCCCCTGCTCCCTTATGCTTCACACCTCAATAATACCGAACCACTACCAATCCCCTAAATGGTCACGCTTTCTCTTTTCTTTGTGTGGCTGTCCAATTTTTTCCCCTAGTTTCTCTGTCAATGCCAGCTCTATAATGTGGCTCCCTGTAGACTAAGCTAGAGGCAGGGCTCTGTCTTCATATGCCCAGCATCTAGTGCAGGGCTAGCCATAGAGTGGTGGTGCTGGAGAAATATTTGTCCAATACTGGCTCAGAGGCTAAAACATTTATTTTTATAAATGTCCTATATAGAAATGATATTCTCTAGCATTAACATCTCTTAAAACAACCACAATTAAATCAAAAGTGTTAGTAAGATCTTATAGTCTTCCAACCCTAAGTTCTTGGTCTTTCTTAAAGGCGAACAGGAAAATAAAAATACAATTCCATTTGATACTTCGAGTGCCCAGTCTATACAATGAACATTTCTTGTCTGGTCTTTGCTTCATCTCAGTTAAGAACCTTTATTTTCTATTTAGCCAGTTATGTGTTCCAATGAATAACCTCAAGTTCTTAGGTATGTTTTGCCAGGGTCTGACAACTCTGTACTATACGTGATGTCAAGGTAAGCAAAGTCAATACATACCCAAATGAGCAGGATTTCTATTTAGTTGCCACTGCTTGCTTCATGACCCAACACGGGAGTCCATGAAGGAGGGTACATCCCTTTGGGGAGTATATGAGTGGTCCACTGGAGTATGGAGAAAATGTACGTTCATTTGTCTTTTTTTAACATCATCATTTTAATTTTCCTTTGGTAGGATTTACAACATACAAAAATAAAACAGTACACACATTGTTTATAAATATTCCTCTATTAGGAAATCATACTCAAAAAAATTTTTTAACTGATAGGGCTGGAAAGTCAAAAAGGTAGGAGACCAATGTACCTACAAGAACCGGTGGAAGCACTCACTCCCAAGAATATACAATATACCTGGAATCGTGGCTACCCACATTTACCATTACTGTGATCAGGTGAGGCAATCCTAGACCATAAGACCAAATTCAGCCCCATGAGGTCCTATTTGTCTTTACCAGGGACTCACCATGTGCTGTTTAAATCCCTACAGAAGAAACCACCTCTCCAAGATCAGACAACTGCTGACAGTCATGTTATGCTCTGGAGAACTTAAAAGATATTCTGAAAAAATGAAATTTTGTTTCCTCCTGTTTTTCAGGCAGGTATTAAAAATGACTGAATCAGCCAAGTGCACCCACCAGAAGCAGGAATCAAGAAATCAAAAAATTCTTCAGCTCACTGGCATCCTGTAATTACTTAGCCTTGTTTAAAAGGCGAAAGATTTATGCGATCTGAAGAGAAACCAGAGTATTTTTTACTTAGCCTTGTTTATAGTAAGTTTTCCCAGAAACAGAGACTCCACTTTAAGAATAGCTCATCCCCAATACTGATCAAGTGGTTATAGCTGACCAGATTTTAACTTTTCAGTATCAAGGACTTTAAGATTCAGAATTTCTTAGTAAAGCAAGCCCTTACAGTATTTTCTTTCCAAAATTTATTTGGGAGTCGCGTTATCCTATCTGAATTCAAGGGCAATCTCTTCCCGTAAGGATTCGCTGAGTGTAGGCTCAGAATGAGAACTACCAATTTTTGTGTAACCCACTAACCTGAAAACCTTTCTGAAACTGACACGTTTTAAGGTGCCAGATTACAACATGAACCTCAGACACTAGGCCAACCAATCAAACCTTCTGACGAATAAAAACATACAAGCCCCCGTGGGAGAACAGATGATCCTTCCCCCTCAAACATGCATCTCCATCCTCTTCATCTAGACCCCTCTGCTAGCTCTTTTCTTGACTGTGTTCGCTGCGACAGGCTAACGAAGGGCTCCGTTTCTGGCCCTTCTCTTTTCTATTCCACTTGTGGTAGCTGCACGTTCATCTAACTTCGTTCAGCGGTCAAGTGCAGGATATTCAAATTACAGCTCCGTAAGTAAGCACGGGATTAGCTCTGTAAAGTCACGGACTTCAACATCAACTACTTTCGCTGCCCACTTGAGCGCTCTACTAACTTCGGAACCGAAGTCTCGCCTCCCCTCACCGAGCGGTCTTGGAGGGGCGGGCAAGATCCGATGTGGCACTACAGTAAGGGACGGTCCACCTACTGCTGTTCTGGGGAACACCCTGTATCCCCAGGGGCCCATACGCGCCTAGCCTGTCACCACTGCCCGTTTCTCCAACAGAGGCCGGGTTCCGGAGGGGGCACACCTCGTCCCCCGCCCCGTTCCGGGCCGGCGGCGAGGGGCGCCCGGGGGGAGCGCGGGGGTCGGCGGTGGCGCCGC